GGGAGAACCTCCTCAGGTGCGCGGTGCGACTTGCCCTGTGAGATCCCGGGCAAAGATCCCGAATGGGACTCGGTCCTAGGGGGAAGTATCGTCCCGCTTCCCGTTGGGGTTCGTTCCATTTTGGCGAGATATTCCTCGTCCTCCTGATCCATTAAGTTAGTTAGAATACCGTACCGGTTTTGCGATTCTTTGGGTGCTTTGCTGGAAGTGATGGAAATTGGTATATTTGAATGCGCGTATGAATGTCCTACAGAAGTACTATGAGTCCATCCAGCAGTATGTAATGCACCTTTAGATAGTCCGGCCAACCGAGTAGAATCGCTTACTTGTTGGCCCCGTCTTTTACCTCCTCAACTCCCGAGGACAAGGGCGTCTTCTCCTCATCTGATTCCACTTCCTGCTCTACTACCCGATTGTCTCAGCGATTGTTATTGCGCGGGGTGAACCTTCCACCTCCGTCCCTTGGCTTTCTTGGCTGTCTGCAGTCCGCGGTGAAGTGCCCCTTCTGATGGCAGTTGAAGCATCTCCGCTCCCGTCGGATTCGGTCTATGTCCATCGGTTGTCCTTGGCCGCCATAAACCGGTCTGGTTCCGGTGTTGGTACTGGAGGGTCCGGGCTCTCTAGGTGGTTGTGGGGGAGCGTTCTGATTTCTGATTGGCGGGGTGTGGTTGTCGTTGCGGGGTAGAGCACGATTGTCGTTGTGGGGGATGTTCTGTCGATTTCGGGGATCTTGGGGGTGGTAGCCTTTGTGAGTCCTGTCGAAGGCTCGCTTGACTGCTCGTTGGTCGTTGATCTGTATAATGTGTCGCTTCCACTGGGAGTAAGTTCGGGGTATATTTTCTCCGGATGCGACTGCCATTGTGTACTCATCTGGTACCCTGGCTCGTACTGCTGCAACGATATGGCTCTTCTCTCCTTGATCTTCCCATCTGCCTGCGAGCTGCGCTTGTTGTTCTAGTTCCTGGAAGTATCGGTTGGCACCTCCGTCCTGCATTCGCAGTCCATACATGCGCTGTTCGTGCACTTCCTCTACTGCCGGGTCGGCGAACTCTCTTCAGACTTCTCCGATGAAGTCTCTCCATGATGGAAGGCGGTACCTTGCTTCCGTCTTGCTGAAGTACCATTCTGCGTGGTGTACCCACCAAGTGAGGGCTTTGCCGCCGAAGTGGGATGTGGTGAAGGTGATCTGTTGGGACTCCTCGTAGTAACCTTGGTGTACTTCGAAGTAGAGGGCGCATTGGAGGAAGAACCTTTGGATATCGTCATGCTTCCCATAGAACATCTCCAGCATTCACATCATTGTGGGTTTGACCCCGAGGAATGGGGCATTTGCGTCGGCGTGCCCTCGGGCGTGCCCTGGGTTTGGGGCTGGCGGCATTCAGTCTGGTGGGGGTCTGGGCAGGGACCATAGGTCTCCTCTGCCTCCGGGTGAATCTGGATCAGGGGTTGGTGGTCCCCCGGGAACGTCGGGGATAGGAATGTCTGGGGGTTCATTGTTGGGGTTAGGGGGAAGGCCATGCTGCTTCCGCAGAGCGTCGAGGTCATTTAGTTTCTGGATCATTTCCTCCCTGGTGGTTTCTAATTTCGCTTCTTTGGCCAGAATGTCATGGTAAAGGTTCCGGCAGGCCTGGGCCGTGGCTTCTTGTTCCTCCGCGGTTTCTTCTGGTGCTCCGGTGAATAGTCGGGATTTCCCTGGAATTGGGGGTCCGCCTTGTTGCCAGATGTTTCGTTTTGGCGGGGAGTCGGGAAGTGGTTTGGGAGGGGGCAGGTATAGCTCATCATAGCTAGGTATCAGCGCTTTCTTGTAGAGGGGAAATCTTTATTGAACATAAAAACGGCCTGCTCGTGGGTGGCGTGTACCCATATTCTTTTCATCTCCTCCGTCTCTCCATCCTTTTCTGCTTTCATATATCGAATCCCTGACGCGCTTGCTAGCCATGAAATCTCTTCCACTATATGCATATATCTTTCTTCAACTCTGGTGTCGTATTCCTCCGCTACCTCTTCCTTAGTTAGGAACATCTTCATTTCGGGATAGTCGTCGTCGACCTCCAGCCAGTCCAGTTCTCTGGCTGAGCCACTCGGCTCTGCTGTCGACTCCGTCTCCAGAGTCTCGTCATCCTCTTCCTCTTCCAGTATGCGTAGGTTCCCTAGGGATATGGTCGAGGGGGATGCGATTCTGGCTGATTCAGAGGGAAGGGGGGTATACGACTCCTGCTGGGATTCGGATGGTTGCATGTCGTAGGGGCGGAACGTTATGGGTACAATGCCACCAGTCGCTGGGAGTTTCTCCCTCTGCTCGGGGCTCAAGCTGCTCCATTCTTCCGGGGGTATAACTTGGTGGCTGTGGCCAAGGGTCAGTGAGGGGGCTGAAGGGCCGCGGGTGGAGCTGCTGGTAGAGTCTCGGGAGGTCGGGGGCAGCATGGTTGCGGGGAATGTGGGCTGGGCTGAGGGGACGGGGCTCTTTGGTGGAGGGGCGGGCGGGGAACTCCTCGGTGCTCTCTGTGTCAATTCTGATGATCTGGGTGACAGAGGCGGTGTATTCCGAGGCGTCCTCGTCGTAGATGGGTGCGGGGGTGCGGGCTCAGTAGGGGTGGTCAGCAAAATGCGGGAGGCCCCAAGGGCGAGTGCATCCACACCCTCTTTCGGCTTCTTCGTCACATTTGCCCAAGTACTCTTCGGCCTCTGGCTCGGGTATGGGCTGCTCCTGCTCGAGGGTTTCGAGCTTGTACGTCTGGGGGTAGACATAGCATTGACAGCGTAGTCTTGGAATTAGGACTCCTAGTCCTATTCCTATGATGGTGAGGGTGAACGGTACGAGAATGGCCACAAGGGCGATGTGGAACTCAGCAGGGGTCAGGTCTCTGGTTTGTTGCATGGGTCTTTGCTTGCGTCATGCACGAGGAAAGAAGAGAAGCTTCGAGCTAATTGTTAGACCCGAACCTCACGTGATCCAAACAAGAGTAAACTCGGGCTGTCTTGTGTTTGGACAGTCACCTGAGAGTCTCGTGGAGTTCGGATATAAGTGAAGGAGTCAGACTAAGTTCTTAGTCGAGCGAGTTAGGAGAGAAGTTTGGTATTGATAAACTTTAGCTTGAAGCTGGAGTATTACAGCGAGAGCTACCTACTTATATACGAAAACTGTGGTACTAATAATAGCTACAACACACGAAGACAATACAGTTGTCGTGCTGGAAGCGCAAGCCATAGTTATCAACTACTTGGCCTAAGCCGTCTGGTTTTGGTACATATGGTCACGTGGGGTTGGGGATGCCTCGGTCTTCTGGTAATTAGGAAAGAAAATGAATAAGCGCGGGAAATCGTAACATCCGTGTTCTTCTTTCCAAGTGCAGTCCTTTACCTAGTATTCACAAGTAGGCCTTCAAGGAACTAGCAATATTTGACTTGTTAATTGAAGAGCCTATTCATGACCTACATAAGTCAAGCCTGAAGTTTAATCCAACATTGGTCACTGGAATGCTGAGCCATCGAGACTGGCGTCCTGATGCCTGGAAAGTCCTAGAACGAAACATCCTGAAAAATTAAAACATTTAGTAGGGGGCTTCGCGCTTCGCTGGTTACAACTATACTTGTTTAGGAGAGAAGAGGAGTTCAAGAACAGGGAGCGCAGGACTCAGGTTCTCGGGCCGTCAGGCCTGTCATCGAATTTCCAATTTATTTTATTTATTATCATTTGTCGCGGAGTTTTTATTTCACCAGTAGCTAGCTTGTTCTTGACCATCACCCCAGCTGACGCTTCTCCACCTGCTACGGCCACCCGGATGCATGTATTCTGATCTGCTGCATATCAAAGAAACGGCATATGGAGGACGTGGCTTATTCGCAACGACATCCATACCGAAAAACGCATTCATCTACACCTGTTCATCTCCCTACGCCTCCGTGATATACCGCGTATTTCGCAAGGAAGTCTGTGGCCATTGCTTCTCCTATGCATTCGATAGTAATCGGAATGCATGGAACATTCGACGTGACGGCGCCGGAGTATGGTTTTGCTCCATAGAGTGCCGTGATGCCTGGCAGGATGGAAATGGTTTGCTGGGGAAAATGCACGCTGCGGTGGATAGACTCGCGAGATCGCTCAAGGGCGAAGCAAAGGAATCTTGCTCCAGGAAGAACATTACCAGCAAGACAGACCTCGATGCTGTTTGGGCGGCATCCACGTTCGACTTGGAGCCTCTGACAGAGCTAGAGCTTGATACCGTGCGATTTCTCGCCTCTGTTATCATGGTGCGATACACAGGCCGGGGCGAATGGGCGGATTTCATACAGCTACAGGATAACGAACTCGAGTACATCCGTGGGCGTCCACAGGATCTTGACTCTCAAATACGGGTGTATGCGTTCCTCCGCAAAGCGGCGCGAACAGTGCCGGATTTTTATGCATATGTGACAGTGGATACTGTACGCGCTATCCTTGGGCGCGATCAAGGGAACGCCTTTGGCTTGTACGATATGTCCACGTCGGGGGATAGCGAGATGCTAGGATTCGCGATGTACATCACGGCGTCGTATTTCAACCATAGTACGTGCTTGGGATTGATCTCTGCTGACTTACCCTCATCGTCTGCAGATTGTTTTCCTAATGTCCGCAAACAACGGGAAGGACGGTCGATGCACTTTTATGCTACCCGGGATATCGAGGCTGGAGAGGAGTTGTGCATCAGCTATATAGATGCGAGCGATCCCGTAGAGAAGCGCCGCGAGGAGCTGGCTAGAGATTGGTATTTCACTTGTGTGTGTCGGCGCTGCGAGAATGAGTGAGTAGACTTTGACTTTGATTTTCTGCCACTTTCCTATTGAATCCCACTGGCATGACCGCCAAATGCCTATCATCATTGGTGTGTCCAAATGATAATGCCCCATCAGAAGTGCATGAGAGATGGACTGTCCGAGGATCGAGACTCCGAACTACTTGGACAGAGAGACTGAGAGAGTCCATCAGGCTACTCGTAATTCGACAACGAGAAACAAAAACTTGATGAGAAGGGGATTCGAACCCCTGCCATCATACGATGATGAGAAACCCAAATCGGGCAAGCTGCTAATGATTATGTAATCACTTCCGCTTAGGTCACACACCTCGGACCGCTCGGCCATCTCACCCTAAGGGTGGTACAGGAACAAGAGATTACTGGATTGCGACTATCGACCTAAGTGAAGGACCAATATCGAGGATGATCTACGGAAAGCAGAAGTTTTCGCAGAAGCGCGAACTTTGAACGCAGGAAATGATCGATCGATCGATAAATTGGACAAGGCGATGGCAAGTATAGTACTCAGTTATCAAGGGCGGAAAGTTAGATCTAGTGTACTTGTACCTACTTTGCTGGCTTCAAGTGGTTTCTGGCTTGATGTTTTTGCGTATGCATCGTGACTGAGTTGTATGTATTATAGAGGATTCGAAGGGTACTTTTCTATGTTGTCATTTAGTCAGAGCAAGGCCCCCTACTGATTCCATCGTCTGCACCGAATTGATCAGACAGGACTGGGGTCTGAAGGCTATAAAAGACTCACGAACGGGGACGCCGTCGGCCCATCCAAAATAGCTAGCTCTTCACTTGTAAATGGTAGTCGTGGAATGACCAGTGTGCGCAGAGGAATAAGCAGCATGATAATCACGGGAAACCCAATGGCGGCTAGGGGGATTAGCGCCGGAGAAGAAACAAAGCTAGACCAGAGCTGACCTATCGTTTGAGTGATTGCAAAGGTTGCCCCAAAACCTCCAAGTTGGATGGCAACGAATATGAGGATACGCGATTTTCTGACTTGGTGCAAAGGATCGTTTTGAGAAGTCAATGTCTTGTCCCGGAAGAAGTACAAGATTTTCTGCGTAATGCCGTTTCCCCGAAGGGCATCTGCGCCCATAAACCAGCTACACATATTAGATAGATCACCATTGATAGGTGGAACGCTCACAAGAGTCCAGCAAGCACGCCCCGAGGAATGAGATTCAATATGTGAAGGAACGGACCCGAGAGCAGAACAAGACACAGAGCACCCTGAGCAAGGTTGGACACTCGCTGCTCCACAACGGCGACAGGCACTTCATCGACACTGGGAAACGTTTGACTCTTCTCGTTGCAAGGCCCTTCTTCATCAGCCTTCTTGACGGGCCGCCCCATTACTATCAGCGACGTCGTATGAATTGGAGCCTGAGGTATTAACCCATTCGGAGCCGGAACGCCGATGAGTCCAGCAATGAACGTCGTGATTCCGAGCAGGAAGAAATCGTAGTGAAAACCAGGAGGTTTACGAAGAGGAAACTCGGAGCTTTGCGCCATAAGAGACTAATCAACATTTGTGTCATGTAGGTAAGATGAGACAGCGAAAGTCTCTCACCGAAACATTGTGGTCAAAAAAGAACAAGATCCAAAGCACGATTCCGAATGGAAGCGCGACGCCCACCCATTTTCCCTCCAGTTGCCAGAACTTGACGAGCCACTCCCTCCCGCTAGCAGCTTCGAACGCGCCATTGACGGGCAGGGTCAGCGGATTAGCAGAATTAAATCTGCCCCAGTATGCCATGGCAGAAGTCGCAACTAAAGAGATAGGCATGCCATAGTCCGCCAAGAAACGGCGAACGTGGCGGTGGAATAAGGTCGTCCCGGAGAGTGATTGGAACAAGAATGACACCACGAGCATGAGAATAGCGAGGATAATAGAAACGAGGGTCCCTTGTATAGAAGACGAGGAACTGTCCTTGAATTGCCTCGTGATGACTTGAATTCCATATTGGAGGTACACCCAAGAGACGTAGAAACCAAAGGTATCACAGGAAAAGAGGGTAACGTATTTGAGAAAATTACACCCTATGCAGCGTTAAACGTAATGTCTATGCAAGTTGACTGGCGACATACAATTCATAATCGCAGTGATCCAATGGATGATGGCTGCCCACAAATAGACCCATCCTATGAAATGAAGGTAAACTGGAGCGTTGGTCTGCTTTTCTATAATATCATAAATAGTCTTGTTGAAGACTGTGATGGGGCCTGTGACTCCCGCAATCGTGAGGGGTTGAGCGCCGAAAACGGAAAAGATGAATGCAGCCATGAAGGACGAGACGAGCACCTCGGCGACGCCATACTGTCCAGTAGTCTCTATAAGATCTAGAGAGAAAGCAATTCCAGGAAGAACACTACACCGACATCAACATTGCATAACTGGCAGATCACATTAGATACGCACTTGGCAAAGAATATCAACGCTGTAGCGGGGATAACTCTATAATTCCAAGCATCGGTCCAATCACTAACGAAGAGGGGTGCTCGGGCGCGAATGTCGAGAATGATACCAGAGCCCAATGTCATTAACCAGCGAAAGAAAGGGTTATGGCTTTGTTCAATAGCCGTAGCTGACCCTACAGCATTGCAGTGTCCCTCGTCGTTCGTATGAATGGAATGTGAGTCGACACTCGATGCCACTCTGGTACGCCCTTGATTGGAAATCATAGTCCGCCGCACACCGATGAAATCTAGAAGATAGGACGAGTGCTTATAGTCGCCTGCAGATGAACCACTGCATCTGCTAGGACGTCGAAGTAAAAAGTCAACAAAGACTTGATCGTGTTCTTCCGTAGTTGCGTAATACACCCCTGTTCGACCCCACGGGGGTGCAACATTACAGAAAACCCCAGGACTCTAGGCTATGACAGAGCTATGATAGGATGGTAACCCCTCATATAGACCAAGTAAGACTTCGCAGCGCAGCAAAGCCAAAAAGCAGAATCAACAGCGAGAACAGGAAGATAGATAATACAGATATAAGCAGACAGCAAAAATAAACATATGCAGCATCATGATACATCCATCTCCTCGTCGTCAGTATCCGAGAGCATCTCCTTGCTCTTACTATAAGAGAACGAAGCTTAAGCAATCTTACAGAATGGACTAAAAAGAGAAACGTACAATTGTTTTTTCCGAGGACCGCCAGCCGTCTCTTCCTCATCGTCGTCTCTTACAACTCGTTTCTTCGACGGACGCTTCTTAGGTTTCTCGACCTCCTCGTCGTCACTGAACGTAGCCATAGGTTCGTCTCCCTCTCCCTCTCCATTAGCTTGCTCATTGTTTTTCCGTAGTTTCCCTCTCCGCTTTTTCTTAGGCTCTGCTTCATCGCCACTTCCTACAGCCCCCTCGCCCTTCGCCTTTCTTGATTTCTTCGGGCGCTTTTCCTTCTCGTCATCGCTGTCCATCCGCACCAAATCCCTGGACCATGCTTGAGCTTGCTCGCGAGCGAGTCGTCGTTTACTCGCTAGCTCTTCTGCCGCCAAACGTTCTCGCTCGGCCCTTTCGCGCTACTCGCAGTCAGTATGAAATATCACAAAAAACAAGGAAACGACCTCTTGGGCTTCCATCCGATCCCTCTCCTCTTGCCGTTTCTGTCGTGCATCAGAGAGTTTAGCCTGTGCACGATCTTCATATTGCTTCTGGTTGCCTAGATGTTCATCGCCCTTTCGGAGCATGCTGTCGCCGTACTTTCGTCTTTGATCAGCTATATCGCGACTATACGGGACATTTTCTGATTTGTCTGAAGCAAGAGAACCAAAGATTCTGTGATCAAGTGTAAGAGCGACATCGCATGGGTCAACATATACACTGACTTCTGAGCATGAGCTGCCTGGTTAATTACGTGACGCAAGTCTTTCAATGTTCGCTTCGAAGGGTCAATAGTAAAGAGCATCTCAGCCGATTTCTGTTGAATCATGGCGATGTTGTAAAGGATTGCTTTGTCATTAGGCTGTATATGCAAGGCCTATATGAACCTCTTAGTAAGCGATAAAGAGAGATGTTCAGTGGAATGCTGACCTTTTGAGCATAATGTAATGCCGTAGTCATCGCCTTATACGACTGATCTTTTGTTGCCTTCGCATACCATGAACGACAGAGACACAGAAGCACTGATACATTTTGGCCATGGTAGAAACGTGTAGAAGCTGTCTCATACTGGATCCGATTATATGAGCTTGTCTCTTCGTAGATGAACAACCAAACTTACACTTTCGATCGCCCGGTCATATTCATCACGAGAATAATAGCAATGCCCCATGTTAAAGTACACGCTACCGTCGTTCAGTGACTCTCGAACCTTTCCGAACACGTCCAGGGCTTCACGAGAGTTGTGCAGTCGTTTCAGAGCTTCATCCGTATTCGACGAAGGTTGTCCGCCACTGAGAGTACCGAGAGTATCTTCTGCTGTGACGATGGCTAGACCTTGAGCTGCAAATGCACAAAGTGGATCCAGCGACAACGCCTTTTCATAGAATTCGGCAGAACGCTGGAATCCACGGCGCCGGTCGTCAGCACCCTTGGATGTCGCGTCTCGACTTTCTCGCGATTGCTGATACATAATCCAACCAGCCGCACAAAGTGAGTAGACATCGTGTTTGTCGTGATCTTTCAGGGTTGTGAACACGAAATCTTTTGCGAGCTTAGGCAAGCCGCTTTGAATTAGGAAATAGGTATAGAATGCGCGGACATTGAGATCTTTGTTCTGCGAAGCTAGCGCCTGTTTCAGAAGATCATGTGCGTCATTGTTGCGTCGCAAATTAGTGAGCATTTGAGCCCGCCGTATTTTAGCTAGGAGAGTATGTCAAACTGGTGCTGAAATAGTAGAAGCTGTAAGTAGAGTTTACCATCAACATACTCCGGATGTCGTGAAAGCAACTTTTCATAAGCATCCTTTGCTAAACCATCTTCTCCCTGGTCCTCATAGACTCGGGCAAGGTTGTACAAAATGGAGGTTGAGATACCCTCACCAATATCAGGACCGAGACCAGCAGCCTTGATAAGGGCATTCTCGTATAATAACCTTGCGTCTGGTAATTGTTCCGTAAGGTGACGCAGCACACCAAGGTTATTTAGCAACTGAACGTCAACTTGGCCCACGCTGCCTGACGAGTTGCTGATCTTCAACGCCTCTCCTAGTGCGGCGACAGTTTTATCCAAGTTCTCGTCTTGCCATAGTTTTGCAACTTCCACATACATATCCATGTCCTCGCTGATGATGGGAGAGACCTTGGATCGAACCTGCCCGTTTGCTTTCGTTTCGTCCATTTCTAGTCGCTTACCAACGCGTTCGAACAGTTCCCGGGCTCGTGTTTTCTC